AAAAAGTTTGGAGAAAAAAAAGTTAACTGATTTTTTAAATTTTATTTCAGTATAGTATGGGAAAAAAGTCAGAATTCTGACTTTTTTCTCAAAATTCTAACTTTAATCTCAGAATTCCGACTTTTTTCTCAGAATTCTGACTTTTTTCTCAGAATTCTGACTTTAATCTCAGAATTCTGACTTTTTTCCCCATGTTAAACTGAAATAAAATTTAAAAATCAGTTTACTTTTTTTTTTTTTCAGTGGCCCTTATCCTCTTACGTAATACACTGACATTACCTGAAAAAAACTCACCTTGAGCACATAATTTGCACACACAACAAATAAAAAAATTAAACAATATTTAATCATTGTAAAAAAAAAAAAAGAAAACAACGTAATAATATCCCCATCCCCCAGAATTAAACACCATGTTGCAGGTGTTACTTTCTCTGCCATTATTATATTTTGACACAACTCTCTAATGTCTTGTATAGAAGAACTAATCTGAGTAGGAACTTCTTAAATGGAATGTTTGTAACTTAGATTCCTCGGCATCAGTGACTGTCTGTAATAAACTGTCAAGTCAGTAATCTATCCCATGATGATAACACTTTATAGTATGCTAAATGAAAAAAAAACGTTTATTCAGAGATTTTATTAGTTGTAAACCATATCCTTTCCTGGAAATCAAATATATACATACTTTTTTTAATCAAAATTAAAATTTGTTTGGATTATTTCATAACTTTTATATTTATTTCTCTTAAGTAACAGTGTAGTAATGGTATCTGTGTAAATAAGACGTAACCAGTGATGCATTCGGCCCATTTTAATTAGTTGCAATTAGACTTAGTATTAGACTCAACTTTATTTATCCCTTGGGATTTATCCTTCAGGGAAATTCTGGTTCCAGTAGCTTATATAGAGTATTATACAGTATAGTAGAGAATTATAATTTCTTTGGATTTTTTTTACTGTTTTGCTGCTTGTTCCTTAAATCATATCACCTGTTTTAACCTGTATTGTTGTCATAACTGTCAAAGGACTGCCAAGATATTTCCAAGGCCTGGCTGTCACATTCCTGACTCACTGAAATTCTGTTTTGTTTTTTTCTATATTCCTTTGTGCCTTTACATTTTTGGGCCAGTAGGTGTCAGTGTATGAGCAGCCACATTAGTCCACTGGTCCCCAAGGACTAATATGGACTCAAAAGTTGATCACATTTCCTGGTAGTTTATTTGCACATTTATTAAAAGTGTTTAAAATACACATAATACTTTTAAGATTTTAAATTATCTGTGTTATATTAGTTTAGTTTTTTACTAAAAAACGGAAAAAAGGTGCATTTGATCAGATTTTGGCAAGATACTCTATGTTCCTTTAAAGGACGTCCATGAAAATATAAATTTTAAATTTAACAATCAGAAGTGATTCTTTTAGCACTGGGAGGGGAAGGTTCAAGGAACTTTAATAGGATTAATATTTTTGGTCATTATAAGGAGATGATGGTGCAAAACAGTTTAAGCACGACAGATAATTGGTCACACTTACCAACCCCTACCCTGCATCTTATTAAGGTGTTTGACTGCCATCACTTACCATATTTAAATAAATGGGTGACTGACAGCACTAAGGCGGGCTGTAGAACAAATGCAACCAGCAGAATTAGGTATAATAAAGTGGATATGCATTATATTTAAAAATTAATTTGGCCGCTGGCTGGTGGGGCTAGTTTACTAGGGTACCTCTACATGAAAATCCAGAACCTAAGAACAGTTTCCAAAAAAATATAAAAATAAAAATTATAAACAAACCTCTGAACTTTTTTTCTCCAAGTTTGAAGACATTACGTTTTCCCATCTGGAAAGCTTTCTGAATTCAAAATGTCTGGAACCGCATTGAGTTTTATAGCGTAGCCCAACTAAAGCCTTAGGACAACTTCTAGCTGATGTTAAAAGTAACTCCATATGTTCTCATCAGAAATGTCTCCGTTGTGCCGATGTGAAGATTCTGCGGCAGCTGGTGGCCGTCCATGAAGGTATCGAGGCCATGCGCTGGCTGATGGAGGAAAGAGGCATCTCAACCAGCCACTGCAGCAGCTTATCAGGCAGTATGAGCAGCTTGGTGACCATCGAGGACCACGTTCCCCCGATGTCGCCCAGCAGGTGTGTGAAGCTTAAGTGAAGCTTATAGGACACCATTCCAACCTTAAACAATCATAGAGCCTTAGCTACTGCTTAGATCAGCATTTATGCAAACAGAGGGCTTATTACCAAGGTTTCAAAAAATTCATTTAAAAAATCCTTTGTCTTACTCTTATAGTTTAAAGTCCTTTATTATATCAGCAAAACCAAAGTAACCAGGGTTTTCTGTAGCTTTGGGGGACATGCAGTAGCCCATTCCAGCAGCTTTCTATTATTTCTTTCCTATGGATTGCTGGTCAGCTGGCCATAAAAAGGTTCCTACACTCTTTTCCTCTGGCTGGTCACAGATATCAAGTTAAAAAAGTGAGGATGTCTAAAAATGGTAAAACTTCCCATTGTGCTGTTTTAACGAGTCTTTATTGAAGTGTGGTAGAAAATGTCAGAAGGCTGGAAGTGAACACAGTGACATATTATTTTTTAAACCTGGATCCACTGATGTGATTTCCAATTTAGTTAAATATTCTCAACCTTATGGTTTTCTTTCAGATTGAAGGTGGAGCTAAAATGTCAGTTTCTTCTGTTATTCCTACAGAGAAGAGCCAAGTCCCGCCTTCCCTCAGGATATGAGGCTAACCGCCATTGAAGAAACATCTCCTGAACCTGAATCTGCAAGCTCCTCTAGGTCCATAGAAGTTGAAAGTTACAGTCTGGCACCACTTACTGCTGCCAGCTCTTTGGTTGGCACTGATGTACCCAAGTCACAAGTACTGGAGTCTGGTTTGACACGGCTGCACATCAGAACCGGTGCTGAGACGATCAGGAGAGTTCTGCTTAGGTCCTGCAAAAGAAGACAACTAAAACCTGACTCTGGTGGCGTGGCTGGCAGTCAGGATGTAGGAGAGAGAAACTCTACACTTTTACCTCAGGAGACGTTAACGTTTCAGAGCCACGAAGTGAAGAAGGACGAGTTTTCTGCTGGTGATGAGAGCGATTTACTGGGTTATGATGCTCAGTGGTCCTGGGTGGACTCCAAGGATGATGTCACATTTTTATGATCTTACACAAGAACGCTTTACATTACATTACTTTAAACTATAACCATCTTGAGTGACAGTGGAATAAAAAATGAACTTTGACCCACAAGTGTCTTTGTGGAATGGATTAGATATTCATCCTGCTCATCAGCTTCTGAATAATCGCTCAATCTGTGCATTTGTTTATCCTCTTCTTGAAATGGAATGGTAATTAATCAGGAATTCTGCATGAAATTAATAAATAAGAACATTTAGAAGGTCATAAAATCTGCTGTGAGTGAAACTGCATTGCTTGTTTTTCTCTGTGTGATGGAAAAATGGAGGATTTCTTCATGTTTATGCTGCTTCTCTCTAATTTGCTTTTAAAGTTTTCTACTCTTTGTCAGACATCCGCATCTTCAGTAGATCTATTGGGAAGTTATTTGACAAACGCACACAGAGCAGTGCATGAATGGAAAATAGAATGTTTTAATAAAGATTTGAAGAGTGAGTGATGCATTTCTATATAACCTCATCACAACCAACCTTCAGAAGACACCTGTCTAGAAAGCAGAGTCGATCTGTTTTTCATTTCATTACAGTATAAATCCAGATGTTCTGCGAAGGTCTCAGAGGTTTAATGAACCAATAAAAATGATGAAACCCAGCAGATTGTTCAGGGAGTAACAACATCTCACAAAGCACTGTTCAATTAATCATCTGAAAATGGATGGCATGGCACAGCTCCATATCTGCCAAGACACCTCACCCTAGCTAACACAAGAAGCTTAACAGGCTGCACCAAATAAATCTGCATTTATTTTAAAAAGGCAAGAAAGTCATCACTGAATAAAAGCCTCAGGGAGTCTTGTTTGCAATTTGCCACAACCCGTGTAGAGAAAACTGTTCAGCAGGTGAAACAAAACTAACTGTTTGGCCATGATGCAAATAATAAATAGTGATACAAAATTACCCTTAGTTATAAATTATACATATCACATCATTTTCATGTTATTTTTAACTAGTAATCTGTTGTTGCATTGTTGCTTCAAAATCCTGACTCGATCTTCTCTGTCCAGTATTTACACTACCACAGTGAAGCCTGTTCAATAGGTTTCTTGGATGCATTATTTTAAAAAAAGGGGGAGAGAGGAGATTTAAGATCTTAATAATAATAATTCTAATAAAATTTTTCAGTAGCTTTTATAAAAAAGATCAGGGCAACTATGGACATTATGGTTGCAAAAAAAAAAATCTCAATATTTGATATACATGTAAACATGGAACACAACATGATTATTTATGGGTTCGACAGCCCAGACTTTTAATTAGAAATAAAAAAAATGTTTAATTGGAGCAGTCTTGGGCCAGATATAGCTTAAGATCGATTTTTATAATTCTGAATGCTAATCTGTTATGATTAGTTAAGAATAAGTATTTTGAGAGACATAATTGTAACTTCAGGTTTTAATAAATTATAAAGATGAGCCTCACAAATGTGGTTGCCATGTTTGTGTGTTGATACTATTTTCTGTAGTCAACACTGTCTCTTTGTCCATTTATATATTCTTTGTCATTTATATATTATTTGTCATTACTTTAAGAATCGTTTTCTTTATAGAAAACTTCTTAGTCACATTTTTAACGTATGAATCGATGCTTTGTTTTAAAATAGACTACTTTTCTCTCCACAAAAACATCCGAATTTTAAAATATATATCAGTGTTAATTATCAGTTACTTCTTAGTTAGCCGCTTTAACATTTCCTACAGTCCTCAAACGCCCTCTGCCGGCGCTCTGGTGACGTAGCACGTATTCGCACCGAAACCCGGAAGTGCTAAACAGGTAAACTGTTTCTTTTTTTTTTTTTTTATTAGGTAAAAGAATGTATGGCAGCACAGGTGGACTCGGGAAGATGTAACTAGTCGGAGTATCGGGGAGAAATTATGGAGGCCTCTTTTCTGCGTTGGTTGCTTTTTGTCGCACTGCCAGCCTGGACATTTGGAGACGGTAACATTATTTATCAGTAGAAGAAGAATAAGACAGATATTAGCATGACCGCTAACGATTGTATATTTGGTTTGAAGTCACGGTGGCGACAAAGAAACATAACGTAACATATAAAAACAGCTAAATTAGATTATCTAAAATGTAAGGTTCATCAAATAATATTTTGTCCTTAGTGACAGTAGGTTAGAGAGGTAAATAAATATAAGTGTGAAGGTTTTAGTTGACTGCGAGAGACTATCATTCTTTTTGTTGCATTAAACAACTTTTCTGTGAGAAGGAAAAACCATCTTCAATGACTTTAGTTGCTTTAGAGCAGCGGGTCTCGGCACCAAAAGTGTGCAGAAGAAATGTTCAGTTCGATACTTATTGTCAGTTTTATTTAAAATCCGATTTTATAATTCCAGTTTTTACCATTACAATAGAAGCTTTAACCAGAATAAGAGAAAACCGACACGTTACAGGTTGATCGTTATAAATGTAACATATTCTGTAGGAGTTCTAGGTTCATATTCTTCAAAGCACATGTCCATTAATGCTTCCTTCTTTTAATTACCTTTATTTAACTCAAGAGATGGATATCTTATACATACTGTAGAGCAGGGGTCACCAACTAAAAACCAGCTGGGTCCGGATAAAGAAAATCATCAACCAGTAAAGGTCCGGAGACATTTTAACTATAATCTTTTACTTTAAACAGAGTTAAACACTGACATAAAATGAGGTGTTTATGCATCCATGTTATACATTGACTTTTTAAATAAATAAAAAAATAGAAAACATGTTCCATTTTAAAATCTAAAGTAGAGAACAACAATCAATTCAGTTTGGTATATAGACAATTTCCTGATTCACATATTTTATAAATAACCTGAACTGACCATTTGTTTTTTTTAATGACTTAATGAGACCAGTGGGCTTCGTGCTGCCCTGTAAGGCTTTAAACCTGGGTTTGAATGGAGACTAAGCCATTCTCAAGCACATATCAATCAATGTGCACATTTTGAGCCTGGATCCATTTTTATTTTTGATTCTGTTCATGATGGAGAATCTTGCTTCATAGCAGCAAGTTGAGCCAAACATCCTCTAAATGTGCAGGGTCATTTAGCAGCACATCATTTCACTTTTCTGTCACTATTTCACTTTAGTTCTTCCAGCAGTCCACACTTTCTCCTCTCCCTTTTTCTTATCTTCTTCTCCTTTCCCACCGCCCGGCTTGCCACAGGTCTGCCTGCTGTGTTTAAAAGTAGCAACAGCAGCAACCAAGACTGACAGCAGCTCATTTGAATCATGTGTAGCCTGGTCCTGGACACTCTGGAGGGCTTTACCATATTAACAGGAGAAGCGGCACAAGTAAAGTTAGACACTGCTCGTCAGACTATATGCAGATATTTATAAATGTTTTAAATCAGGTTGGGTCCAGCAGGTAGGTCCAGATCCGGACCCTGGTCCGCTAATCCGTGACCTCTGCTCTAGAATGAGATGTGATGCTTTTAGGGAATAAGGAAAAAATAGTTCTCTTCATAGGCCTGTCATTGGTAGTATTTGGCAATTGTTTGCAACTTTTGAGTTTCCGTATAGCTGGAAAGTGTACCTCTTTACCCTGCATTAGAAATGAAAACCTTCAAACAGAATAACAAGCTGCTCTTTGATAATTTCAGGAAATATAAAGAAAATACAACAAGAACAAATAAAAACAAATTTTAAGTTAAATGACCCCCTTTTGTTGCAATAATCCTGCTGCAGACACAGTTGAAATGTTTATTGGATGTTTTATTGTCATCAAAGTTATTTTCTCCTCCTCTAAAAAGCCATTTTCAGTCTAGTTTTCAATGTCAAGGATGTTTTGGGCTTTTGGATACACTTTTTTTGTTAAATAATTGTCACTAACCTGATGCTTTTCCAACATAAATAGATATGTGGGAATACATAAATCCTTTTCCCTTTTCTCCCTGCAGATGGCCAGCTGACCTTTGTATCTGAGCTGTCCTCCAAACCTGCTCAGAAGTTGTCAAAGTACAGCTGGTATGCCAACGTCAGACTGCAGAGGTTCCACATACCGGAGGACACCGCCGTCGCTCGCTGGCTCTTCTCTGTGAAAAAGGGCCACAGTTTCCACTGCGGACAGCACAACATCAGCATGTAGGACACAAAACTCTCCTATAAAACAGTAGCTATCTGTGTCTGATTTTATTATAACAAGATTCAACCTTCCTTGCAGCCATATCCGATGGGGAGCCCCTCCTGTCATAAACCCAACACAGACTGTGTTTCCAAATGCAACACTTTGGGGCCCCTCTTTTTCTCTCACACTACCGGTGACCTCCCAGAGCTCCACCACGTTTAACCTCTCCCACCCGGCTCCAGGGAATTGGTTCGTTGCTGCTCATTTACCAGAGGATGATGGCCGCATAGAGCAGAAGGTTTGTTCAGAGATTTTATTTTATCATCTTTGTTTTTATATCTGTTAGATCTGTGCTTGATGAAAGTTTTTGTTTTTAAGGAAGGTTTATTTGGGGTGGTGAATAAGTGACAGATGCAGAACTGCAGAACCCACTATTGTTGAAACTCTAACCTCAGATGGGATTGAATGCATGCTTGTTTTTTGTAGGACTGGTTTAAGTAATCTAATCTAATTTTTTTTTTTTCATTTGTTTATCTTTTAATTAAATTTGATGTTTAAAAAAAGGACAAATAACATAGATTACTTTCAGAAACTGGCTTTTGATTTTATTTCTGTCATTTGCAGCTCCAAGCCACATTTCTTACAAACCATTTTATTTGTTTAGAAGATTATAATTAAAAGTTGAACTATGGATGGGTCGGCTGATATTTTTTATTTTTTATTTATTTATTTTTTCTTGCATTGGCCTATACCCACATGCATTCAGGAGCCATGCTGTAAGTGTTACAGCATGGCTGTAAGACTTTAGATAACATGAGGCGCATGCATTCCTGCTTCATCCGTTTACGTTTACCATACATTGTTCTTTTTTTGTTTGGTTTTTAAAATGTATAAAAACAATAAATAATATCTGCTTTAGAAATTGGCCCAAAAACTAAGTGCACATATTGGGGATGAGTTGCAAACCATTTTGTTTTTTTAGAGCTTATAATCAGAAGTAAAACTGTACATTAGCCGGCTAATAATTAAATATATTATCAACCTTAAAAGAAACTGCATCCTCTATCTCTACTTATAAAGAATAAAGCAGAATAGCAGATTCTTTGTCATAGGTTTATTTTTACACAAAAACCTTCTGAAATCCAGATGTGTTTGGCCTTGTAAATCATTGTAGTTTTATTTATTTATTTTTAAAGCAAAGAAATATGTAAAATATAAAATAAAAACCTAAATAAAAGCGAGGACAGTAATTTGCCCACATGGTGGGACCTTGGACACAAACACAAAATCATCCCTAGAAGAGATTGCGAGATCCCGCAATACTTTTGCGCAAAAGTATTGCGGGATCTCGCAAAAGTTTATTTTTTGCGATGTCTCGCAACACTTTTGCAAAATCTCGCAATACTTTTGCGAGATCCCGCAATACTTTTGCAAGATCCCGCAATACTTTTGCAGGATCTCGCAATACTTTTGCAGGATCTCGCAATACTTTGCAAGATCTCGCAATACTTTTGCAGGATCTCGCAAAAGTATTGCGGGATCTCGCAAAAGTTCATTTTTTGCAAGATCTCGCAAAAGTTTTGCGGGATCTCGCAAAAGTTTATTGTTTTCCTCATTGTCCCTTTAGGGGCTCCATACTATTCTATCCATTGAGGTATAGAAAAACTGGAGAAATGATGCCTGAGATGTTTGTTGGACAAACAGACTGGTACCATATCCAGGGAGTTAACTGCTTTCTGTGGAAACCTTTGTGGTCCAGTGTAAAGCATATGGGTGTGATGAAACATCACAATAGCTGTGTAACACTAGCTGGACAGATTTCCTTAGACTGTGCTATGGAACAACAGTCTACCAGGCATTCTGGGACAAGCTCACAGCTGGAAAACAACTATAGTGAGGAATGAACATTTGTGGGGAAAAAAATCAATAACAATGCTCCTGTGGTGTGTAAAGCTCCTACTTCGCCAAACACCATTTTCACAAAAAAAATTAATATTAGTGAGCTATGCCGTGTTTGTGTTAAAACATGTCATCAAAGTCTCACCTTTCTTCTCCTGATTTTTTTGTCTTTCGGTTCTTAGTTTTGTTTACTGAGCTGCATTAATCTTTCATTCCAATTCATTCATCTACACATAGTTTTCTGATGACATTTGGCTCTAAATGATCCCATCAGGCTGCTGCGATCCAACTGCAGCTCCAGTCACTCATTTTTTCCTCAAATTGAAGGTATAGTGGAGGATGTTGTTTTTCCGGATGGATCATCAAAATAAGTTGTCCTCTTAATTGTCAATCATCCTGGTGATATGTTTGCATAAGGCCGTCCTACGTGCTCGTCCCCTTTTTCACTTTCTGGTGGTGAGACAGACATAGTGGAAGAATTGTGAATTTTTTTTTTGGAAAGTAAACTTGAATGAGTGATGCAAACAGCAATTTTTAAACAGAGCGTGGACAAGAAGAAATGGGCTCTTTTTTTTGTTTTTTTTTTAAGTGGAAAGGGCGGGTCTTTTCAAAAAGTCCCGTAAAATCCTCCACTATACCTTTAAAGGCACTACTGCTAGGGTTGGGAATTTATAGGATTTTCACTTTGTCTGATTTATGATGCCGATTACGATAATTGATGACTCAGAAAAATATTCTATAGATTAATTGATTTGCAAAATAATCGTTAGTTGCAGCCCTAGTGTGGATCTGCACATCAAAGTCAGGCTGTAAGATTAGTCTGAGTGGTCACTATAAAACGCCCGGGGGGGGGTTATTGATGTGAAGTGCAGTGACAAAAGTGAAAAGGTGCCATATAAACCTGCCTGCAGTCACAGTGAGGTTGTGTTTCTGTAAAATTCCTGTTTCCAACCCCAACCTGCTGAACTGGAACGGCAGGTAGACTGATCGTTCTGCTTGGCTTTCCGCTGAACCACATTCTTATGCTTTTAGTTGTCAGACAGGTTTGTTTAGCAATATATCGATTAGAAACGGTCTGCTTTTAAAATGTCTCCCTAAATGAGCTTATTCAGCCATGTCCTCCATACTTGTTTGATTTTATCTATTTTGAAACCACTTGAGAGAAAAAATATGGATTCAGTTTTTTTGTGTTTTTTTTCAGGGTTTCCCATCCTGCTCTTATTACTTCCAGCCACTGCTGTCGGTCAGGAGAGCCGTGGACACGCCGGTGTTACAGCAGGGAACCTTCCTGACACAGACCGCAGCACCTGACAGACCTGCACGCCTTAAGTAACATGTGGAACAATGTTTCCGTACATTTCCTTCCTCTTATAATGATTGTAAGCGCTCTAGATTGATGGCTTTGTCTCTTAGGATGTTCGTGCCGGAGTTTACCTCGTCTCTTTCGGTTTCTGTGGCCGAGTGCTCGTCAGGGGAGGCGGAGGAGAGCAGCAGCTGCCAGCTGCTCCTCAGACTGGGCTCTGCATCGATGCGGCACAGCCAGACGGCGGTGAACTGCTCAGGGAGCCGCTGCTCCGCCTCCCTCTCCAACCCTCCGTGGGACACCTGGTTACGCATTGTGGTGGAGAGCAGCCAAATCAACCAAACCATAACCTTTAAGATTGTGTCCAACTACACAGGTGAACAAAGATTTCACACATAATACATCACCATAAAAAAATAGCAGATCTTTTCCACATTACGATGAATTTCAGCGTATTTAACTAAATTTTTATGCTGATAGATCAACAAAAAGAAGCGGCTAACTTTACAGTTAAACAGTTTTTCTCTTGGATGATATTGTATTTATTTTTGTCTCCTTCAGTGGGATGTAAGCCTGCCAGCGTAGGCCTTAAAGCAGACGATGACCTCACAAAGCTCCTCGGTAGGAGCAGCGTCTCCAACGTGACGTCAACAGGCAACAGCTCAGGCGCCTCCAACGCATCATCAGCGCTTCCACCGGAGCTGCCCGCGTCCGGCTGCGTGTGGAGCGTCCCTGTGCTCTACGAGGAGCTGGACGTTCTGTCTCTCCGTTTCACCCCCGTCAACGGGTCGAACATCAGCATCACGGACGCGTACCCGGCGCTGCTCACGTACCCTCTGCCCGCACAGGCCACGGGGGGCACACTCAACCTGCAGCTCACGCTCAACTCTGTGAGTAACGCTGAGTCGCTGACCTTTGTGTTTGCAGTTAGTCTGTATAGACACACCACTTAGATGGGTTTTTAATCTTTTTTTTTTCTTTTTTTTCAGACAAATGCAACGTTGGGGAATAACAGCATCGTTGGCTGTTTTTCTCCCTGGGCTCCTGTCCTCGAACTCAACCACTCTGAACCTTGCCGTACAGGTACAGTTAGAGTAACATGCAAAATGAAATAAAACAGTTAACATAATGCTGCTTTGAGTGAATTGATGCAATCATCCATTCTGTCTGTGGTTCTTTGTAAATTAGTCCTTCAGTCTGCAGCCAATCCCAAACTCTGGAATCATTTAACCCCTGCATGTCAGGCAGGCTTCCAGTTTGACCTTTTTCATTTCTTTTAAAGTTTCATCTTTTCTCTCTAGTGTTTAATACTCAAGATGATGTTAATGTTGTTTCATTTTATATTATCTCTTTATGTTATATACTCTTTTTACCTATTTTGTTCTATATTTTTAATGCATTTTGTCAGGTCTAAGCACCTAAAACATCATACATAGATACGGGGAAAGAAAGAAGGCACAGAGACAATTATTTTAGTTACTCGCGAGGAGAGTAGGAAGAGACTGCGGAGTTTACAATCTCCACCCCACTCTGTGTCTTTAGCTTTCTCCTCGCAGTTTATTGAAGAAAAGGGGATGTCCCTAATTACACCAGCTGAGTTTTAACTAAGGGAAAGGGAAACAAAAGGATCTCACTTTAAACCTCAGCACATATGTTAAAACAAAGCATGTGGTTGTTTTACAATTGAATTGTTCCAAGAACACAAAGACACATGTGATAGAGGCTGTTCAGGCCTCCTCCACATCCCGTCCGTTGCATGACCTTTATCTGGAACAATCTTAAGCAAGAGTTAATAAAAGATGAATCACACATTATACATCATAATAGTTCATTAGAACACAACCCATGAAACACAAACAAAGTAAGATAAATAAAATATTTCTAACACATTTATTGGTGTTTTTGGTTCTGCTTTTGTGCAGCACTTTGGTTCTTTTGCTTTTTTTATGGTTGTTTTATTATCAATTGATTCATTTGGAAAGTAAAGTGAATCCTTCAGCTTCTGTGAATCCAAAAAAAGGGAAAAGATAAAAGATGATGGAAGATTCCAGTTTAAACACACAAAAAAAGTCCAACTGTCAATTTGGTGAAATGCAGAAATATTTTTGCTTTTATTCAGAAGAAGATTCAAAGCTTCTTTTTAAAGAAATAACCTTCAAATAAAACAACTTTGGATTTATTAACATAAGATTTTACTGCAGCTTGCTGATCAGGGCTTTAGTCTCAAACACAGATTGCAAGTCGGTACCAAATTTAACTCCACCGGTGTGCAAAGGCTCTGATGAAGGCAGACATCTTGGGGTGGTCCTGGACCCTTATCTGAATCTTAATAAAAACGTATCATAAAGACAGCTTATTATCACAAAAATATAAATATTTACAGATGATATCTCATCAGAGATCTGAAAAATATATATTATTCCAATTCTGAGGTGATCGTAGATTTTAAACTTTTATTTATGGCTCACAAGCAGTTTAGTAATCAGAACATTAATTATACCACTGATCCTCTTCAATGTTCTAAACCATTAAGACCTTTAAGATCATTTGAATTAAACTTCAATCCCATATCAGAACAAAACCATCAGAAACAGGCTTCAGTATTTATGCTCCAGTAATCTGAGATAATCTTCCTCTACACTGCAGGAGTTTTCCCAAACTGAGCATTTTGTTTAAAGCAACACAGTTTTACTAAAAATGGATGGATCCTAAATTCCTTTCAAATTTTATTAATTTAAAGTCATGTGGTCATCTTAATATTTACTATAAAATATATTATTTTGATAAGGCATATTTCCCTGATGTCAGTCCCATTAGGATTTATTTATCTCTCTGTTTAAAAAATGGCCCAAAATAATAATAGGTGATTTCTGTTGATGTTTCAGGCTTTAGAAACTGGCGACACACAGTAACCCACTAACAAGCATAAAAACAAAGACGTACTTTTGGTTTGTCTGTTACAGAAATGCAGTTTGGTGCTTTTTTTTTTTCTACCTGAAAGCCAAACTATCAAAAACACCCATGTTACTTATCCTGAGAATACGACGGCTGCTTTCAAAATGCTAATTTCACCATTTAACTTGAAATGACGCCCTAAAGGACAGTTCATTTGGGCTGTTATAATATTCAATCCTTTTTAAGTATGTTTATGATTTTTACAATCGGTTGCATATCAAATCAACTTCCATCTTTAATTATTGGCATTTTCAGATATACAGAATATCCTGACCAATCTCCAATGTAACGTATACTGTTGATTCTCCACAGCTTTGTTTGGAGGATATGGTGTTAGCATCAACGTCAGTGACCCTAAAGCTGCAGTCAGGCTGCCTTTCCCTCAGTCCACAACATGGTACCTCACCCTGCAGCTCGTATGCAACAGGTAGAGCACCTCTAAACACTGCATCCATCATTGACTGCTTTATATGTGCACTGCATTATTTGAGTCTTTTTGTAGGACTCATCTTCTTGCTCTTTCTGCAGCAGTGACTGTGGGAACTCGTTTGTGGTGTCTGTGGTGCCAGAAGTGTCTGTCAGTGCCTGTGTGGAGGATTGTGGGCCGTATGGTGAATGTAGGCTGCTGAGATCCTACACCTACTTGTATGCTGCCTGTGTCTGCAGCGCAGGTAACCCCTCCCCACACACACACACACACACACTTTTATCTATCTTTTTAACTTCACATGGTTCTATTCATATGTTAAAAGAGAACACTAGCAGGTTCTCCATTGTCCCCAGCTTCCTCCAACTATCTGATAACACAACGTTTAGTACATTACTCCCCAATTTACACTGTGTGCGGCTCTGCTCCACCGGGCTCAGCTTTCTGTGCAAATATGCAACCATTTTTACCAACTAAAACACTTATGCTACGTTCACATTGAACACGATTTAAGCAGCACAAACAGCTGCTTTACATGCAAGGTATAGGGTTGAAGCGCATCAAAAGGTCCTGCTGAGTAGCTGAAGCAGCACCTGTTGAGCATTTCAGCATCTGAGGTGCTCCACATGTTTCCACGAGTTGGAAAATTTTAACTTTTGCTGCTCGACGTGCAGCAACAACCAATCAGAGAAGCTGATTTTATATATATATGATATGAAGGGGGTAAAACTTGTTTATATCATATATATTACCCCATTTACATTACCCTTGAAAAACCGTGCCGAGACCGGTCCGAGCTCAGTAACTGAGATAACTTATCGTGTGTAAATGGAAAGCAAACTGAACCGAACTGCAGACCAGTTCCAGAGGTGGGCTCGGCTCGGTTTTTCCCTGGCTCGGTTCTCTGATAACAAGAGCGCATGAGCAGAACGCGTCATCTCCGTCTGGCTGCACATCCCGATTCACACTCCATTCCAGTAGTTGGCGGTAATGCCCCTCCAGAAACAGAAGAACGGCTTCTTCTTAAATTATAAAAAACAATCGAAATCTTCTCCACGCAACATTTTAAATAATGGCATTTTAAATCATAACACAGAAGTACAGCAATAATAATCAAGCATAACTTTCTGAATGTGACGGGCGCCGCCATTTTGATTTGCTTGATTCCCTCCTTCTTCATCTTCTTCTTGTTGTGTTTTATGGCGGTTGGCAAACAACTTTTGGTGCATTACTGCCACCAGCTGCTTGATTTCCTCCTTCAATACTGGCAGTAATACCGCAGATTGTCACTAGGAGTCGAGGAACCGAGATAGCGTGATGTGTAAAGGGTCGTCAGAACCGAGCTCGGCCTGGTTAACTGATCCCAGCTCGGACCGGTCTTGGCATGGATCGGTTTTTCAAGGGTAGTGTAAATGGGGTATCTGTAAACTAGGCTTTCATGAAAGGAGAATTTATTTTGTTCCATGTACAAAGAATATTTAGCGCTATGGTCACTCCACCAAAACGGTTATTTAAAAGCTAAATTAACTTTGCTCACAGTACTTCCAACTGGGTTCCCATGGATCCTTAAAAAGTCTTAAAAGGCTTTGAATTCTTCAATAAAAAACTAAGGCCTTAATTGGTAATAAAATGTCTTAATCCAGTTTTTCTTAGGTTTTAAGATTACCACATCATAAATAGGATTTTATTTTTGTAATCCATATCAAACATTAAAATAATTGACAATAAGTTTTTTTTTACAATTACTGAACGGCTTGCTGCTCTTATCTCACCCCTCCTTTGAAAGTCTTGCTTAGTTATTGAAATACTGAAAAACACTAAATTTTCTACTGTAGTTTTATTAATTGAGGCAAATGTTTTGTCCTGAAAACACAGAATAAGGTCTTCAGATCTGCACTAGACACTGAATAATGTGTTTTAATAAAGGAACATAAAATCAGACTGAATAACCTACTAATGTAACAGCCTGCGCTGTAATCTTGATCAATGTTCTTTTTGACCTCTGCAGGTTGGAAAGGTTGGGGCTGCACCGACGGCTCCACGGCCCAGTCATACAGCCGCCAGCTGACAGCAACCATGTTGCTCACACTCAGCAATCTGTTCTTCCTGCCCGCCGTCGTGGTTGCCATCAGACGCGCCTACATCACTGAGGCCTCGGTCTACATCTTCACCATGTTCTTCTCCACGGTAAAGAACAAATTACTTGTGGCTGTGGTTAAAGTTCCTATAACTGGAAACGTGCTGTGAAACCATCTGGGCAGAAATATGGTATAGATCTGTCAGAGTTATATCATTAACACACAAATGGAATGTTTTGTGAAGTTTTAAATATTGTTTTTTACTGAAAAAAATCTAAAATATACTTGTTCACCTTGAATGAAACTGTAGAAGCATCACTCCTATAAGGTTAGCTTCTCGTCTGCTTGAGTTTGAGTTTTATTGCTTAAGCTTTCTTCCTAAAAATTTCAGGGCTCTGCTTGGATTAACAATAGTAGATTATAGTTTGCAGATCTTCTGACAGATTTTGAATTGGAAAATTAGGTCTAGACTTTAACTAGTCCATTTTCAATCTATTTGCTTAGAGTTGTTGCTCTGGAATGGGAATGTAGTGAAGTTCTGACGTGTTTCCATGTGCCTGCTGAAGAAAAGCCCTCCCACAGCATGATGCTGCCTCTGCCATGTACCATTGATGGGTTAATGTATCACTTTTCTAGTAAGAATCTGTATTTAGGGGCATCAAAATAAAAGAGGCAGAACATAGATGAACATACAGAATGCGAAGCCGTTTTTTTTTTTTTTCAGCTGATGAAAGATTGGGAAGTTTTCTATAAATCCTCATTATTCCCGTCTCTTCCTGTAGTTCTACCACGCCTGTGACCAGCCCGGTGTGGCGGTTCTGTGCATCATGGACTATGATGCCCTGCAGTACTGCGACTTCCTCGGGTCGATCTGCTCCATCTGGGTCACCATCCTCTGCATGGCTCGCCTGGGAGACGTAGCTAAATATGTGAGAGGCCGCTAGTCAACCCGACTGTATTCTGTAATGACAGCTTCAGCGTCCTCACCTGGTCCTTCCTTCCTTCCTTCGTTCTATTTGTGTAGACCCTGTTTTTACTCGGAGCCTTGCTGATTGCCATGTCGATGCAACTGGACCGGAAGGGCTTGTGGAACCTGCTGGGCCCCATCCTTTGCGCCATACTTTTCATGGTCACTTCCTGGGTAAACATTTGTTTGGAAATAGCTGATGTCAAAGCAAGCAGTAATGATAAAAGTCCTGCTTTTTACGTAACAGCTTTCAAAATTATTATTTCTTTTTTTTTATGTGCAGGTGTACCGGGGGGTCCGCCGGAAACACTGCTACCCGCCCTCATGGCAGCGCTGGGTCTTTTACCTGATCCCCGGTGCACTCTGTGCTCTCATCGGCGTGTGCCTGTACATCTTTGCAGAGACTGAGAGCAACTACTACTACACGCACTCGCTGTGGCACATCCTGGTGGCCAGCTGCGTGGTGTTCCTGCTGCCACCAAAGGAGAAGGACAGGAAGGCTCTGGGCTGGAGCCAGGGCTTCAGCTGGAGGTGGAGCTGGAGACCTCGGGTTTGTGGATACACGCTCTGTGAGAGCAGCAAAGATGAACTTTATACCGTCACATAGCAGCAGAAGGAGGAGGAGGAGAAGGACAGGCTGGTGATTTGATTTTCAAACCTGGGAAACATTTGAGCAGCAGATAGCTACGGCCCTTTTGGCAAAGATCTGGTTTTAGAGTCTCTGTAGTTAATAATGACCTGAATGAGGCATTTTCTTAATACAGCTAGATAATTGTATTCTCAAAGGTCCACTTATATTTCATACTTAAATGCTCATCAAATGGAACAGTGCTGTTAGAGTTTAAAAAGATCTGCTCCTGTATGTTCCTCTCAACCCAACCAATCAGGTGCAGCCTTTTAAAGAATAAATACACTGAGATTATTTGAAACTTTGATCTGCTAGTATAGATGATTCCACTTACTGCTTAAGAGCTATATTTACCAAATACTGCTAAGAATTTGGATTTACTATCTTATAACAAAAGTGCTCTTTTGGATCGACTTAAATATCAGCACAATTAGTCTATTATATCTGCAGCATTCTATAATTCTGATAATTTAAAACCCAGAAACCTCAGAAAATATCCCAAATGCTGCTAATATTTCCAGATGTCATATAGGAGACGGAGGCTCCTCTTTCCTTATAATATTGGGTCTCAAAAGGACCAAAACAGAAAAAGTAAGAAATCCTTTAAAATCACACATGGAAACCATGGCAACAACCCACTGGATAGAAATCCTGCTTGCAGCCCGTCGGTCATATGTTAAACTAACCTGTTAGGATGCTCTAAAAGCTTCTCCTTTGACAATTAAACAGTCTGATTTAACAGTTTGCAGCACTTTTCAAACAGCCTCTTGAAATGCTTCCTCAGAAAATGTTTTTAGCATCTTACTGGTGCTAAAAAAGACAACCTTGAATCTTCCTCAGTAACAAATTTCAAATAGAAATCATTGTTTTCTGCACCGCCTGTTAGCATCTCTGTGCATTCACTGGGAACATGTGGATATTTTAGGTTTAAGCTCAAAGTTGCTGGTCGTTTCTACTTTGAATTAGTTTTTGCTTGTTTCCGTTTCTTTAACATAGATCTGTGTGTTCTGCTTGTAGCATTGGGACATACAGGTAGCTGACAAATACAGGTGTGTACTACAAGGCAGGATTAAGAGCTTAACATAGGTGTTAAATGTTAAGAAAGAGTTTTTCCATTTAAAGAGGTGGATGTTTGAAATGCTTGCTTGATCACCTTGGTAACATTAGTTTTCCCATAAGTATAACCAACATTAATAAATTTATATTGAGAGCTTTCAATATAAAATTACTCTGCAGCACTGTAAGTTAGGAAGCAAAGGGAGGTTAGGACATAGATCATTACACTGGTAACTATTATTAAATTACAAAATTTTAAAAATTTCTCCTTTAGTTTTATAATACACTTCATTTTGGTAAAACACAAAAGTATTAGATTTAGGAGCATTGTGGTGGCCGCATCATTAGATCAGAGTCTATGGCGAACTAAAGCTTTGAATAAGCCAGCATCTGTCGATACAGCAAACACCAAAAGATTCACTTTTCTTTTACAGATTTACTGATCAGATTATTTAGCTGATTCTTCATCTCAAAGGTCTCTTAATCAAAATTATGACAAATTTCACATTTTAAAATAAAAGCAGTCATTTCATACACCATGCTTTTAAAAAAAACACCAAAACTATGTCGTTGGTAAATGTTTGTTGTTTTTGAGCCTGGGAAAATGCTAGTGCTCCCAGCTAACATCATGACTGCTGTTTACCGTCGCCATCTGCTGGCTATATTATGCCAAGACCACTAACACCAAAGTTCATGTTGTATTCTAAGCATCACTTGTCTCTTATTCCTCCTGGCATCCAATATATATATATATATTTTATTTTTTGGTCGATTTTTTTTTTCACACTTGATCTTTAACTTTCTTCCGCCGGGGAAATCCTGACTTCACAAAGTTTACTAACAAACGGAGCAAAAACAAAGCGTGAAACAGAAATATGTCACTGTGAATTAATCTGAAAGCCTTTGTGTGAAACCAAAGTGAGGCGAAATGGTATAGAAATTAGTAAAGTCACAGTCAGAGACTGGGCTTTACCTTAAGTCAGAGATTCTTTAAATGGTGCACACATTTCCAAATCCAGCATTCTAAGGGTTAAAATAGAACTACTGTGGTGTAATCTGTTCATCCTTCCTGTTTCGTCTAAAAGTCCTGCTTTGTCATTCCTACACAGCATGAACAAACTGCAGACATAACTGTTTTTGTTTACGTTTCCATTGCTTCTTTATTTTAAACAGACTACTGATAGTTTAGGCCAGGGATCTGCAACCTTTATAATTCAAAGAGCTATTATACCCAAAATAAAATGAGAGCCACAAATATAAAATGACCTTAACATAAAACAAAACCCACTATGTTTGCTATAGATATCTGCCTTTAGAAAGTGGTGTCATTTTAAACAATTTCATTTGCATTTTTTGCTCTTAAAATAAGGATAAAATATGAGTTTGCTAAAGAGGAAGCATTGTTTTTTTGGTTTTAGTTTTAAAGGATATTATTTTATCTAAATAAATAAACAAATGTCAAGCTATTGACAAGAAATCTAAATCTAAAAATATATTTCTGATTAATTAATGCTTTTCGCCAATAAATTAAGAGCCATTGTAGGGGGTCCAAAGAGCCACATGCAGACCCCTGGTTTAGGCAAAGTGCAGTCCCTGATCACATTAAGAAAAGGTTTTGTTTTTGTTTGTTTTCACCTGTCATAAAATCATCCAAATCCAGTTTCCTGCTGATTTATCAAAATATTTCTGTATCTAAGTTAAAAGAGAAAAAGATGTTTTTTCTTGTTTTATTTTTATTTCTGTATTTATGGCTTTCATCAGCGTAGGACATCATTGTATAAATGATATTGCTTTTCAAAACTCAGTCCACACTAATATGATGCTTTGTTCATAAATGATGTAATGTGTCTGTTTTTCCTTGTAGGTCTGGGTTATGTTGGAAGAGTTTAATACTCCAGATGAAATTTGAATAATTCTTTACTGCCAGGTACTATAATTTCCTGCATTCTATTGTATTCCTTGAAATTAAAACATCAGACCACATCTCAACAGTCCACCTAGAAGAAGGAAAGTAATGCTTTTTGCCTAAATCTGCTCATCACAGCCACTTGTGTCTTCACACAGCGTCACAAGTCTGATAATCACATCTCAGTCTCAGGGCTGCAGATCAGAGCAGCCTGGAGCTTCTAACCTGTCAAGAAAAAAAAAATGAAGAAAATGCATGAAAGATTCAGATTTACTGCGTCTTTAAATTTGGTAAGACCAATTCTCTCTGCACTTTCCTAAAAAGACTATTCTTGCGGGCAAATTCTTTACTATTCTACAACTAGGGCTGCATAATAGAAAAACCTTTATTAGAGGTAATGTTGGTTAACATTTAATGACAATGTCAGTTGAGATATGTGCCTATTTTCTTCTCTACTATCTTTTGTCACCTGGGCTTCCATCACTGTGCGACCTTTAACATTTTGGGTGATGTCATCTGGTTATGGTGTAACCATCCGCTGCCTACTGGCTAAATATTTCACTAACATGGAAAATATAATTTTATTACTCTTGGATTATGTTAACCAACAACCTCTGCGCTCCAATTGCTCCTTTGCACACGCCGGTATTGCCATGACGACATATCCCCCATGTATTGTGCAGCCCTGAACTTGCCTCGACTCGTTCGTTCCAACTATCTTCAACAAACTCGTCTCCAGATTTCTTTTAAAGCTACTTGACGCACATTTTTCATTTATCATTCACACTTTTTTTACTGTATTTTGTTACCTATAAAAATTCATGTTTAATTGTTTTGATTGTTTTTCCTGTTGTGCTGTACTTTTTTCTTTTATTGGTGACATCCGATCAGGCACCTGATAGTTATTTGTATTTCAACTATTTCAATTTTAAGTTCATTTTAAATCCAGCAAGAGTCTAAAATTTGTTCACATTTTTTCAGTGTCTTTTTCTGAGTTGTTTATCAACTCTAGGCAGTTAGCGCCCTGAGCCTACTGTGATGTCATCAACCCATATGCACACAAAGGAGAATTGGCTAGCTGGGGTTGTTTTCTTTTTTTTTTCTCAATCCATTTTATGAAATTTTGCAGAAGGGATATAAACACCATTAACTGTTTTCATTGTCTGCAAGTGGAGAAAAAAATATAAGACAAGATAGGATCTGTGTTAAACATGTGGTTAATAAAGCCTAAGAGAAGCCAATGTTATCTTTTAATCTGTTGCTCTATTAATCAAAACACTAACTGCTAGTTAAACAGCTGAGTTTGTTCATTATTTTAAATGTTCTTTTTCAGTCTGAAGCACTTTGTTTTCACTGTCTAATGTAAATTACCCATATGTGTATGAATCAGCGCTGATTGAATGTATACTAAGATTATTGCCCAGTGCCTCTTCCTTAGTCTTTTTGTGATTGCACTTTATATATATGATAAAATGGGAGTTCGGGTGTTTCTCATATAATCTAGTTCCATTGTGTAGTTTTGTGTATTAGATTTTCTGTTGAAAATCTCTATTTTCTGTTTTTGTCTTTTTTCGTTTCCTGCTGTGATTTTGTTGCATCGAGGCTCAAATATTTTGAGGGAAAACAAAAATTACCACTGTTTGAGTTCCTCAAAGGATTTTATTTTATTCAGTTATTCGTCGAAACTGAGTGATGCCTTGGGAAAATAAATCTGATGTGAAAGAAGAAATGATTCGTTTTGTTTTTGTTTTGTTTTTTTTAGTCTGGTGGGGATGAAAAGACTGAGTTTCAGCCCACAGAGGGAGTGGGACTAGGGGGAAGCAGATTATGATAATCCTCAGAATTGTAGACAGCAGTCCGGTTGATATGCACATAACTGTGTGAGTAGTTGGGTCCCTATTTATAGCTTACCTCCATTAGGATATTTGATGGGCCTGAAAGGCTTACAGATCACACACTGCAGCTTCTTACAGCTTTTCTGTAGCTGGCATATGAGAAGGCTAAAACACATGTTAACAAGTTTAAAGCTTCTCTGCTTTGAGTTAGAGAATCAGGAGTTTTGAAAAAAGCAACAACAACAAAAAAATCATCCTTCGAAAACGTTTTAATTTATCGTTTATAGATGCTGTACCGTAAAACTGTCTTTGAAAGTGAACAGCTCCTTTTAATTGAATTACATGTTGCCAGTAGAGGGAGCCATGCTAGCAGATTATTCCAGATTATAGGAGCTTCATGGTACATGGTCTACATTTTAGGACATCCTCAGGTTTCATTAAAAAAAGATTGTCAGAGCTGGTCTCTACACAATGAAGGTGTTTTTTATATATCTATATATATATATATATATATATATATATATATATGAAATTTTGACCAATTGAGTAGTTTTATAAAGCCACATGCATGAAAGCACCTTCAAATAATTTTTTGTCATAAAAGCATAATGTATATAAACTGTTCAATTTTGATCAACCTGCTTTAACCTGCAACGGACTGAGGTAAACTCAAATATCCATTCAGTTGGTCAAGAGCTCTGAACGTAAAAAAGGAGTTCTGTCATTTCCTGACACCTAAAACCTAATGAGTTGTTTTTCTCCTGAGACCTTAGGATGTCCCATAATATACACTGTACCATGGTTATTTTGTTGTGGCTTAGAATGCATCTTACAGTTAAATAGAGAAATGCCTCTAAATGCAGGTAAGACCTTAAACACATTGCATTGTCTGTGGCATCATGGCAAATTAGAAACCATGTAAAATATCAGGAAGAGAATTGTGGACCTTTTCAAAACCAGTTTTATCCATTCAGCTGCCACTTTAATCTGTTCAAAAACATACATAAAAGTAAGAACATACCAGATTCCCAGCATCATGAGGTTAGGAAGGAGATGGGTATGCTGGAACCTAAAGGAACTAAAACATTACAAAGCAAGAGAGGAATACCTGGAGCTAAAATACATGAATATTAAACATGGATATTAAAAGCATGCAAACCTGAGGGTTAACAACACCGCCTGCTTTGTGACGTTTTATTTCAGATGAAAGCATGCAGAAAGATATACAAGAATCAGAGAGCAAAGTCAGATACGAGCTGAGTCAAGATGTAAAGTTTAGATCTGATTCCTAATTTAAAAAGGCCCTAACCAGAGCAAGCAAATATATATATACCTAACCGTGCTTTGCACCTTATCTGATGACCTTAGAGCAAAACAGAACATCTGAGATGGACAATTTCTAAAGCAAATGAGCACAATGTTTGGGTTTAGGATGATGCAGAGGCGGTGAAAGCAGCCATTCGCTGCTCATGCGCAGATGAGATGTCTGTTTTCTTGCAGGAAGTTTGATGCTTAAATAGTAGCTTTCTGTGAAAGAGGGGCTCCGCTTCCTACATTCAGAATGATTAGAAAGAAAACGGCGGAGAAGAAGTCCGTGGTCGGTTGCTGTGGTGAACGACGGAGACGATGGGGATAGAAGTGATGCAAGTCAAGACGCCCCTGCGGAGTTGGTACCTGCTCGCCCGTCCTCCTCCGCTGGCTGAGCGCCGGCCTGAGCCGGGGAGGGGCTGGAATGTCTCTGGCGTCTCATGAAGGGGAACACACTGAAGGATGGGAGAAAGTTACTTTGAGAAACTGATGTTTTCACTCAAAAACAGAAAAAAATTAGATATTACCTTTTCTTAGTTTCCTGGGGGACGACAGCTTTGGCCAGCATGTTTTTATACAGATCGGATTTTAGATACCTGGGGTAAGAATCCTAAATACACCAAATTACAAGTTGTTAAAGAATGGGAAAGATGAAATACGTCACTGATAGTTTCCTTGGAATCAAATGAGATACGAGAAGAGAGAACTTTAAGGACCTTCTTCATGAGGAAGTAGATGTGCATCTGTGCGTCATCGAAAACGAAGCGATGAGGCCGCTTGATTCCTTCTAAAGTTTTATCCATCGTCTTACTGTCAATGTTGACCCAGCGGGCCGCTCCAGGGGCCAGGAAATTTCTAGATATTAAAGAAAAATATACTTTTTTCCCTTTAAACAAGAAAAATGATGTACTTTATTGGGATTTATGGTAAAAACAAAGTAGCATATGAGGTGGAAGGCAAAGGAAAGTTATTATTATTTTTTTTTTAATATGAGAAAAATTGTACTCTGATACCCCAAAATAAAATCCATCCAAACTTTCATTAATTGTATTCCGCTTAGCTAAGACCCATTAGTGAGTTACCAGTTACAGGCGATGAACCTACACATGCCTCTACCAGTGACACCCTGCAGTTTAGTGGGTTCTGGGTCTCTTCCCAGTAAAATCTACCTGGAAAGTCCCAACAGGGAGGTGTGCAGGGGGGCTCCTGATTAGAAGTGTAAATCACATCAACTCACTCCTTTCAATGCAGTTTTTCCATCTTTTTTAGTACTTCTAAAAGTCCAAGCGAAAGGGTCCAAATATGTAAACTTGCTTAATATATTTTTTTTGTTTGTCTGGCATCGTATCCATGCCTCCTTAGCATCAATGACCACAAATATTGTTTCAGTTGTTTCAGATTAAGAAAATCTCTTTGCACGACAG